TTATCCCTGATATGAGGTTCTTACAGAGTTTGTGGTTGTTGCTGCTGTTTGTTTGTTGTCTTTCTTTTGATTTTTGGATTGATTCATGTGTGTTTTCAATCTTTTTCCTGCATTCTTGTGAAGGGCATTGTTGTCCCTTTTTTTCTTTCTTCTGGGTTGAATACTTTTAAAAGTGTTTCTTGTAGAGCTGGTTCTGGAAGCAGTGTAAAGTCTTAGGAATTGAATGTCTGGGAAGGATTTTAATTCTCCATCACTGATGAAACTTAGCTGGGTAGGTAACTCTTGGCTGAAATTTTTTATCTTTGAGAACTTTGAAGATTGGGCTCCAAGCTCTCCTAACCTGTGGTTTGAGACCAGTCATTCTTGAGGTTCTTTTTTGTTTGAGTTCTGAAGTCTGTATTCTCAGTGGCTGACCTCACAGGGTCTGTGTGAGACTCATAGGCTACCTTTGGTTTTTCTTTATTTGTGTAGGGTTTTCTCTCCCCCACTTTTTAAATCTCTTCTTTAATTTTGTTGTTCAGTGATGGGGGGATAGCTTTTATTTCTGTTTGCTCAATCTCCTATTCTTCTTTATGTAGATCCTCTGGTTTTGCTCAATTCTGAAGCTGAACTAGGGTTGAAAGCTTGTGCTTTTTGCAGTTTTGAGATTTAATTAAGGGGAGAGTGGTGATTCAGAAGCTATCTGCAGATCCCAGTCTCCTCTGACAGGTGTGTGGGCTCCTTGGAACCCACGTCTCATGCCTTACAATCTCCATACAGTGGAGTTGTCTGTTTGCCTTCTGAAAGCAAAATGAAATAAGAAAAGAGAAAAGAATGGAAAAAGGAAGGAGGAAGATGAAAGGAAGGTGGAGAGAGAAGAAGAAGAGGGAGAACATACAGGTGTACCAACTAATGAATAAACAGAGAAACAAAGACAGAAAAAGCAAAAAAGACAAAAATTACAGACAATCATACAAACAAACAAAAACCCCTGTGTTGGTGTACTCTTTTTAAAAAATACTCATACACAAGTGGAAAATCTAAAAAATAAGTAAATAAAATAATAGAAACAAAGCAAGTACAAAAACATCAACAAAAACAGAAAGAAAGAGAGAAGAAAAAAAGCAAAAACTAAAACAAAAAACAAACAAGAAGAAAAAAAAACTTACTCTGTGGCTGTTTCTGTAACTCCAGGTTCCTTTCTGCTGACTTCACCTTAGGCACAGCTCTGGTCTCCAGCCTCTCCCCTCTGTCCTCAGCACAGGCTGATAGGGTTGCTTTCAGCATGGGAGAGGGACTGGACTACTGTGGGAAGAGGATGGATCAGATCTGGACTCAACTTACTTACTGCTGCTGTCAAGTCTCCCACTCAGATCTGCAGTGTCTGTGCCTGTTCCAGCACGGGGGAGGTGTGTCTGTCTCTCTGAGTTCAATGAGAGGATGGCCTCTGGGTCCCAAGATGGAGGCTGGGTGGAGCTGGTTGGGACAAAGCAAGTCTCTGCTCCTTCCAGGACTGAGATGGCAACTGTTGGCATCTCATCACTGGCATTGGAGCTTTAGTCCAGATTTCCATGACCTGCCTTCTCCATGGTTCCTCCTGCTTGTGCTGGGTCTGCTGCTGCAGGTGATGGCATAGGCCAGGTGCCAGGTGGTGAGGGGCAGCAGTTCTCTGCTGCCTCCTCTCAAGAGAGCCCTGAGAGTGGCAGATGATCCTGCACACCCAGGTCTCCAATCTCAGGGTGGTAGTGGGTTGCAGTCACTTCTGGAGGAGAGCCCTAGGGGCATGAACGTGAGTCTCCCCTCAGACAAACTTTCACTCACCCATTGGCACACAACCACTCATACAGAGAGCCTTTATGGACACTCAGTTTTGCAGAGACCTCACATTCCGACCTGTTGCCATCTTGCCCAGAAACCATAGACATCTTACCGTGGAACTTCTCAGCCTCCCTAATTATTGTGTGAGCCAATTATCCTAATAAATTATCTATCTATTTATCTATCATCTATATGTAATATTGGTTTTATCTCTCTGGAGAACCCTAATACAGGCTTCTACCCTTCAGCATATAACATAGAAAGTCTATATCTTAAGAATTGCAGAAATTTTCTAGTTCTTTTCCTGTATTAGTCAGGATAGTCTAGCAGCTATAATAATATTTAGATCTCTTAAGCTTAACACAATGATATTTTATTTTTTACTCATGAAAAGTTCAGTATAGGTGTTCTTGTTTAGGTGGTTCTTCTAGGCACCTCTTTTCTGATTCAGGGATCCAGGTTCCTTCCATGTTGTCACACAACCTTCTTCAATACTAGGTCTCCAAGGTTGCGGTGGAAGGAAAGACAGCAAGATGTAGGTTCCTTGGGTACGTAACCACTGTGGCTCTGAGTGACCTACACACTTTTATTCACATTTCTATAGCCAGAACTAGTCACATGGCTCCACATGGAGAGAGCTGAGACATGTCATTCTGTGTTGAGCAAATGAATCCCAACATTGAGTCTACATTATAGAAGTGAGCACAAATCTTCAGTGGTCAGCCAGCTATTGCAGCTACACTCCTTACCTCTGGTGTTACCACATATCTATCCATATGGAATTCAGTGTGATATTTCCTAACACAGATATGATTGTGTCACATCCCCTTTAGTCCTCATCAGTGAATTCCCACTGCCCCCCGAATGAAGTATAAACCCTTAATCAAGGCATTCAAAACCTTTTAGGATCTGGCCCTTCTATCCTCATCTTCCACAGGGTCTTGTCTTAGGCATTAGTCCCACTTAACTGCTTCCAGTTCCCAGAAGCTGCAATACCATTACTTAGCTTTGTACATTAACATGGTCTTCCATGTTTCTGCAATGTTCCTCCTTGCTGTGTCTGGTGGACAAATTTATACTTTTCCTTTAAACCCCAGTATAAGCAGCTTCCTCCTATGACCCTCTTCTTACATATTATTGGTCACTTAGTTCTTCTGTGTCAACACTAAGCTTTTGGCAGACCTCTACAGTAGGACCCATACACTGAGTTGTAATTGTATTTTTACATATCTGTCTTTTCTGCTTTAAACTCTGAGCTCTCTAAGAAATGGGATCATGACTTTGTATCTAAAATGCCTAATACAGTGTCTGCCACGTGATGGATGCTTAACAAATGTTCATGTAATTAATAATTAAGTAAATGAATAAATGAGGTGCAATTTAAAATATTTTTACACTTAAATTTCAGTCTAATATTTATTCAATATTTTAAAATTATTGGACAAAATTATGAGCTTGCACTAAATTTGCTGTATCTTCTAATGAGGAAGAATGGAAGACATTAAAATCAAGCTTTACAGAAATGCATTAATAAATTCTTGATTTGATGAGAGAGCTTCTTCACACTCAATCAACGCACTTAATGAAAGTGATCCAAGAGTGGGCTGGAGCTACAAGGAGGTTAAAGTGACACCGATTCTTACTGAGGCAGAAATAATGGTGACAGTTTCAACTCTGGGAAGGCAAAGAGTACACAGAACAATGATGAGAACTGAGAGGATTTGGATGATTGAGACACAGAACTTGAGGAAACATTATTCCAGTCTCTGATGTAATAATGAAAGGCACAGAAAGCAGTCTCACTTCCCTGAACCCTTCCCTTCTGAACCATCAAAACACAACTAAACTATAATTAACACAGGTTTTGAATTAAATGTATTTAATTAACAATTCTTTGAAAATCACTATCCATCTGTGTTATATGTGGTAATTTTTAATAAACTATTCTATTAATCAGCTCATCACTCCATCTCTAACCAGTCTATATTAGTGGAAGTCACTGTATATTAAAAAACAACATACAAAAAACAACAGCAACAACAACCAAATACTGTGATGCCTGTATTATTTCCTCTGATCTATGATGAGTTACATCCTAATTTGGGAGGTCCTTTGGTTTTATCTACACTACCCGGGGCACTTTGCTACCCAGGGTGGGTAGATGGGAGCTCGTGGGGAGCTAGAGTGGGGCAGGAATCTTCTGCTTTTCCAAATAAAGATAAGAATCTGGAAAACTGCCCCAGCTGTAGAGGTTGGTGCAGAACAGGAAAGGAATCTGAGACTGTTTCAGCCCTCATTTCTGACATCAGTTCTGGCAGGGTATAGAAGCAACAGTGGGAGGCCTCCCTCTCCATAAATTTGGGGATCAGGGGCATAAGGTCACCTTCTGAGGTGAACTAGTAAAATTCACATACAGTGGATGTGATTAGCATCCTTTGGAGTGAAGCTTGAGAATGTCCGAAATGAGTGGAACTCATAAAACTGCAATCAAGGTAGGCGATTTGGGTGTAATCAGAGGAAGGTGGGTCCAGAATGTGAATGCCATTTAATAGAAAACGTTTAATCAATTGCATTGAACTGTACAGTCTTGCCTGGGGAAGACTCTGTGAAGGTAGGTGGGGGTGGGGGTTAGACCAAAGGGAAGGTGGTTAGCTGGGGCTACAGAAAATGAAAACCTGAGGAATTATAACTTGGCAGTGCCCACCCAGGCATAGTGTAGAGGAGAGATCCTGTCCTATGTGCCCTTGTTCTCTGCTGAGGGACAGGAGTGTCTCTTCTGGTCTCTCCCCAGTGCTCTGGGTGCCCTTTGCTCGGCACTCACAGTCACCTGTCATTGGCCTCCCGGGGATTCTGATCCCAGGATGGGCTGCCCTGGGTGGTGGACATAAGCTTTTCAGTTCCTGGGAGGAAATGTCTTCCATGGTGAATTTTTAAGTTGGTCATGAGGTTAGGCTCATGGACTGATACTTTCAAGTGATTCTGAATTCTGGAAACTTCTGAGATCCTGATGAAGGCAAATGGTGGTATTTGGAAAGTGGTCAGTTCCTCAAGAGGGTACTGCCCATGAGATCTCTTGGTAGGCAGCACCATCTTCTCTCATCACCTTCATGATCAGGTCCCTTCTGCCTTCAATCGACATAAGGGTCCACTTATGTCAGTGACTCTCAGCTCTATTGGACTCAATGGCCTATTTAAAAAAATATAACAGAATGTTTAATTACATTAGTTTTCCATCAACCCACCAAAGTCATTTAATGATTATATTGGCCATTTCCACTGATCAGCAGGAGGCTCTTCCACTAACGGCTCCCAAGGTTTCCATTGCATCATTTTTCTCGCCAGATTTAGTTCATTTTCAGCCTGA